AATGTTAATAAGTGTTAATTCCACAGGAGAATGAATGAATAATGGATACAGTTTTGATTTACATTTCTCAGTACATGGCGTAAAGGAAGTACTCATACCAGATATAAAAAACACACAATAAAGTAAATATTAATTAAAGTAATCTAACACTTGGCAATCAGGGATTTAATAGATATCATTTCATTACAACAGGATCTAAGTAAACACCATTTCGGTAAAACATTTCAATTTGAATGTGTCTTATAAAGAAACGTTTTACAGATAAATAAACATCAAACACAGCTTCAGAATACCTCATTGCCAATTACATCAACATTTGAAATTATCACACATAGACACTGAAATGAACATATAACATTAGGGAATTCAGATGACAGTGGAGCACATATATTGTATTACCAATCGGATTTTTAAATAAGGTCTTTCACTTTCTGATTTCTTTATGCTGTGGATGTTAGATTATCCTGTAGACTTTAGCACATTTTAAATAACATTCCCCACGTATTAAGGTTTAGACACTTTATATATGGCACAGTTACGAAGCACGTCGAGGTCGAGATCATTACCCTTAGAAGAGACGTTGTTACCAGGAGCAGACGATGAGCATCTCCTGTTAACGATACGAGAGGTACTACCTGAAGGAGTCTCTGGCGGAAAGGCCTCGGGAGTAAGGCCACCTTACGATATTGCCAAGAGAAGGTGGTAAGTGGAGGAAGAACAGGCAGCGAAGGAATGGATCGCCCACCCGTGTAGCCGCTGGTACAGTATCCTGAAGTGGGACGTCCGCCTGGAGGCCACCGGAAATGGAAGGACCAGAAGTGAAGCCTGATGGAAGAGTCCTACGCGGAACGGCCAGAAGTAGGACGTCCACCCGAGGGAGCAGCCGACAGCGCAGGGGTCGCTCGCGGAACGGCAGGAAGAGCTAGCATTAGCCTGAGGAGCCATCGCCAGAGGAGGAGACGCTCGCGGAACGGCCAGGAATGGAGCGTTTGCAAAAGATAACGATCGCCAGTAACGTTTTGTGTGTTATTGTAACGTTTGCTTGAAAGTGAGTCGAAGGAAGTACTGCTTACGTCGACGAGAGAGGCACACGTTGATCGTACGGTGAGGGAGGCGGACAGCGGGTCGAAGAAGTCTGGAGGGATGCAGTCAACAGGAACAAACCGAGTGTGGTATCGTTACCGACGAAGCAGCTCGAGGGCGGGGATGCAGCAAAGCCCCAGAAGCCACATCGTCATCACCTGCGACGCATCTCGAGGAGTGACTTGAACGTGCAAAGGTCGAGCCGCCAAAAGTCAGTGCAGAGGAGGTAGCCCAAGGACCAGGTGTATCTTGCAGTTGTGCGTCTTTGCATGACAAATAATCCACATCCCACGAAAGACTACTTCGAATGAGATGGTGGATCATATCACGCCTGCGAGACCACCTTTGTACCAGGCGACAAGTAAACGTGGAACGACAAGTAACCAACGACACAGCTCAATTCTACCGTGCTTACTTATTAGAAATGTGTGTTGAACAAGAACGATTTCAAGCATCCGTGAGTAACGGGGTGCCTGTCCCCTCCTTCACAACCCACAGTCCTTCTGTGGTCTGAACGTCTATGACCAGTAAATACGCACCCTTTGGTAATGTGAAGACGATAAGTGAGGTGACTGCAAGAACATGTTCATGTCTTTGGCGGATTTTGACACGGCCGCTTTTTAGAATTCTTAAATGCTTTTTCAACTGGCTTGACTGAATTGCGTGTCCACAAACCTGTAATAAAATACTGAACAACATATGCTCTAAAAGAGGATGCAGAATGTCTTCAAAAAGGATAGTGATGATCTTTAAAAGATGAAATAAAAAGAAACAGTTTTAGCACGAGTTAGATATCAAAATGGATGAGTTAGTCAATGAAAATGTCAATTGAAAGAATGGATTATGAGAGTAGAATATCTAAGAAAAATGAATAGATTAAAAAAAAAAAACTTTTAGTAGACATGATACGATGATTTTATTGGTTCAAAAATTACTGAAGTATGGAAAAGAAAAATATAATATGAAACAACTGTAGCATGGAAAAATATTCTGAAAAAGGGAATGTATCACGAAAAAAAAATGCATCATAAAAGAAAATCTAGCCTAAAAAAAAAAATTAAAAAGAAAGAAAAAAAAAACGGACTACGAAAAGAAAAAAGGTACTATCTTGGAAAAAAAAACTATACAAAAAAAAAAATTGAACATAACCAACTTACCAAATCCTTTTGTACTTCTTCGCCTCGTGTTCTCCTGACTCCCAGAACGTACGCGTTGCAGGAGCATTGACAGCATCGAGGGCTTCCGAGACGAGAGGCCGGAACCCACGCGAGATCGGATGGACTTGGCACTTGAGGGTTTCTTCCGCGGTGACTGGCCCTTCTCCTCGTCCTGTCAGTAGGTTGGTTGGTTTTGTAATTACCGTTTGACGGGATGGACGAGTGAGATTTTTTTCTTTATATATATATTTTTTTTTATAGGGATAGATTAGTGTATATTTTTTTACTACTGTTTGAGGGAATGGACGAGTGAAAGTTTTTTTTTTTTATAGATATATAGATATTTTTTTTTAAACAGGGATATATTAGTGTATATTTTTTTACTACTGTCTGAGGGGATGGACGATTGACTGTTTTTTTATGTACATATATTTTTCTTTCTTTCTTTCTTTTTTGAATAGGGATAGATTAGTGTATATATATTTTTTTACTACTGTTTGAGGGAATAGACGAGTGAATGTATTTTATATATATATATAAATATATTTTGTCTTTTTTAAATAGGAATAGATTAGTGTATATTTTTTTACTACTGTTTGAGGGAATAGACGAGTGAATGTTTTTTTTTTATATGAATATATTTTTCTTTTTTAAATAGGGATAGATTACTGTATATTTTTTAATTACTGTTTGAGGGATGGACGAGTGAATGTTTTTTTTTTTTCATATAGTTTGTCTCTTTTAAATAGGATAAGAATAGGAAATATCTTTTTTATTACTGTTTGAGGGAATGGACGAGTGAATGTATTTTTTTAATATATATTTCTTTAATAGGAATAGAATAGTGAATATATTTTTTTATTACTGCTTTTTTTGTAAATATCTTTTTTTTATTACTGTTTTTTTTTTGTAAATATCTTTTTTTTATTACTGTTTTTTTTTTTTTTTTTTTGTAAATCACTATTTGAGTGAAAAGGACAATGAGTTTTTATCTAACACTGTCTAAGGGATAGATGGTGAATATTTTTTTAAATCGCTGGTTAAGTGAATACAAATAGTTAATACCTTTTTCAAACTCTATTCGAGTGATACGAATAGTGAAAATCTTTTTTAACATCTTAAGGGATAGTGATAGTGAATATTTTTTTAAGTGGCTATCTGAGGGAATAGCAATAGGCTAATAATGGCACTGATGAAGGAGTTGATTACTTACATGTGTGTGTCTGCGTGTGTATGTGCGTGTGTCGTATTTCATCTCATGCTCTTCCTCCTTTTCTTATCTCCCTTCCTCCCTTCCCTCGGTTCTCTCTCCCTCTCTCTCTCTCTCTCTCTCTCTCTCTCTCTCTCTCTCTCTCTCTCTCTCTCTCTCTCTCTCTCTCTCTCTCTCTTTCTCTTTCTCTTTCTCTCTCTCTCTCTCTCTCTCTCTCTCTCTCTCTTTCCCTCTCTCTATCTCTCTCTCTTTCCCTCTCTCTCTCTCTCTCTCTCTCTCTCTCTCTCTCTCTCTCACTCTCTCTCTCTCTCTCTCTCTCTCTCTCTTTCTCTTTCTCTTTCTCTTTCTCTCTCTCTCTCTCTCTCTCTCTCTCTCTCTCTCTTTCCCTCTCTCTATCTCTCTCTCTTTCCCTCTCTCTCTCTCTCTCTCTCTCTCTCTCTCTCTCTCTCTCTCTCTCTCTCTCTCTCTCTCTCTCTCTCTTTCTCTCTCTCTCTCTCCCTTTCACTCTCTCTCTCTCTCCCTTTCACTCTCTCTCTCTCTCTCCCTTTCACTCTCTCTCTCTCTCTCCCTCCCCTCCCTCTCTCTCTTTTTCCTAAACCACCCCTCCACTACCACCACCACCCCCTGCACCTCCACCTCCACCACCACCCCCTCCACCTCCCCCTCCACCACCACCCCCTCCACCTCCCCCTCCACCACCACCACACTCACCCTCAAACTAACATCATCTTCCCCATCCTCCTCCTCCTCGACCATCGGCAAGAAATCCTGTTCTTCGTCGGGAACCTGTATATGGAAGGTGGATCCCTGCGGCGCCTCCTTCCGGTACTGCTCAGCTGCAACCGTGTAAGGCAATTCTTGTGGGAAGATTTCGTCCCAGTACATGTCTTGGATGAGGTCCGGGTGCTCGCTGTGCATCTCGTCCACTATGAGGTACGAAACCTGTAAATTAAGTCATTAAGTTTTTAATTTTAATTTGTTGTTGTTGGTATTGTTGGTGATGGAAGTTTTTCATTTTCATTTCTTGTTTCTGTTTTTTTGAATTTCGTTATTAGATTATCTTTTTTATATATGTTTAATTCGCTTGTTGCATTCTGCCATTAAAGAAAATTGTTTGGAGTAGATGACAATAATAATAATAATAGCACTGAAGATTTACCAGTTCAGAAATAAAGTGATATTTAAAAAATATAAATAAACAAAAAAATAAATGAAAAAATAAACAAACAGATAAATAAATAACTGGATTAATCACTCAACCGATTAATCAATCAACACAAACAAACCAAACGCATAAACAAGAGAACAAAACAAAACAAAATCAACACCACCTACCTGCAGGTTCCTATCAACCAGCCAATTAATCTCGAAATCGTCATCATCTTCTCCAAAGGGATTCACCAGCGTCTCGGCGACTTTCAACCACCCCATGTAGAAGAAGAATTGCAAATACGTGAAGACCGGAACGTAGAAGTCGATATCGTGGTCTGGAATCTGTAGTTTGGGGTCTAGGAACTGCCTCCCCATGACGGTGCCGAGGCAGAAGGAAT